TAGACAGTGTAAACCACAGCACAACCACCCAATGCAGTGCTGTGAGGTCCTGTGTGTGACTGTGTAGACCGTGTAAACCACAGCACAACTACCTGATACAATGCTACAAAAGACAATCTGAGGATAGTAGGATTTTGTTAACATCTATGAACCATTAAGTGTCATACTAGTAGTAACCCAAAGGAAAAAATTCTCTGGTGTTCTGGAATTTCCCATATGCCTATCACCTATACAAAGATAAAGAATGTGACAAATAAGAAAACCAAGATTTCTCAACCACAAGGCAAAAAATTTCAAAGACTGCTCTAAAGTATTGGTTATATAATATACCAATTAGTAAATAAAGGGAATTTTTTTAAAATTCCCAAGAACCATCTCCTCACCTGTTCCTATTTTTTTTTGTAGAGACAGAGTCTCACTTTGGTAGAGTGCCACGGCGTCACAGCTCACAGCAACCTCCAACTCCTGGGCTTAGGCAATTCTCTTACCTCACCTTCCCAAGTAGCTGGGACTACAGGCACCCACCACAACACTCTGCTATGTTTTTGCTGCAGTTTGGCTGGTTTGAACCAGCCGCCCTCGGTATATAGGGCCGGCGCCCTACTCACTGAGCCACAGGCGCCACCCTCCTCACCTGTTTCTTATTCCTGGTGGGAGATTTCTTTTGCCTACATCAGTTGCTGGATTCATGCAGGCAAATAAACGGAAGTCAGGATGACGAACAAGTGGCTCTGTGAAGAGAAAATTATAAATTCTCAGCAACTTTTAACAATGAAGCAATCGGCCACAGTTCCCCAGGGGAAGTTCGTCTAACTCCCCAGAAGCCTGGGCCCTGCAACCCTGTGCTCACACCATCCTTGAACTCACTGACCTGCATATACACTTACTCTTATGGTGCAGTTCCCCAGTACTGTATAGTGTTTTTATTACTGTTATCCTCCATCACCCATTCAACCATGCATATTTTATCTCAGTGTGTGTCTCTTATCCACAATTCCATTACCTTAACAAATTATCTAATTCTTTGCATTCTCCATACCACCTAATATTAGTACAATGCATGGGGCAGTAAGTATCTAAGGCAGTGGTTCTCAACCTTCCTAATGCCAGAGCCCTCTAATACAGTTCCTGCGGGTCACAACCCACAGGTTGAGAACTGCTGATCTAAGGAATGGACAAATTCCATTGGGAGGCCTGTGTACTCCACCCTAACCAAAAAAATCTCACGCTCAAGTAGCCAAAAGGCTTGATGCTAAGGTCAAACACCAAGGGGTTCAAGTACTACCTGTGTCTCCTCGATCCAGCAACACCAGGGATCCAGAGGCTCCTTCAAGTAAACCACTCAGACATTCTAATATTTCTGGAGCAGCCAGATTAATCTCATCCAACAAGACCCACTCTCCTTTCTTTACAGCCTGAGCTAATGTACCCTAAAACAAAATAAAGTAAAATGATAAGATTCCTTCACCAAGAGCAGTTATTCAAGCAGGGTTGGAAGTAAAGGCAGGGGCAAACCCTTCACACATCCTATTCAATAAGCTTACACCGTGACTGCCAAATGGCCATCAGCTGATCAGAGTTAAGGCCAAGATAACTTTATAATGTCCAAAAGGGTCAAAAGAGTATCTTTGAGTCTAACAGTTTATTGAGATGCAATAAACCCGATCATATCATTATATGGATGGTCAGGTTAATAACTTACATTGTCTTCAGGTGTTTAAAAGTACCTGAGTGGCTATTAAAGAACTAGTTCTAAAGAACTAGAAATAAACATAGGGTCAGGGTGTGAGTCTACCAAGATTGGACAGTGTGTACTGGTGACACAGGCTGACACACACACAGCCTTTCACACTGGTTAAAGATTGAAGTGAATCCTTCCTTAACTCTAGCCCACTGACTTTATTCTTCAAAATTTATTTCCAAGAGCAAAAACAAATCTTACAATTCACTCAGCTGACACATACTTTCTTAGTGTTAAACTGCTTTATGTTTTTGTTTTCATCTTGATCCTAACAAAGAATCTACTACAAATTTAACAGAAAAAGAACAAATGCATTAACTCTAGTTCACTGCTATGTCATAAAAAAATAGGCCTTACTTAGAAAGCACTTGACATTTTAATTATTTTAGAGATGATCATATTAGTATTAAGCAGTGATAATCAAATTTCTCACACCCATGCATATATGACTGAGTGAAGCTTCTCTTACCAAAACAACATCTCAAGTAAGATTGTACCTCCTCTATGACATAAACTACAGAACATTGAAAAAAAAAATCAAAACAGCCCAAGAGGCCAGGCGTAGCGGCTGATGCACAGGCCGGAGCATTACTCAAACTCTGGAATTCAAGACCAGCCTGAGCAAAGCAAGACCTCCATATCAACTAAAAGTAGAAAAATAAGCCAAGCAGATAGCGAGTGCCTACAGTCCCAGCTACTTAGGAAACTGAGGCAGGAGGATCTCTTGAAGCCATGAGGTTGCTGGGAGGTAGGCCCACACCAGAGCACCCCAGCCTAGGGCAACAAAGTTAAAACTCTGTCTCAAAAAAAAAAAAAAAAAAAAGGCTCAGCGCCTGTGGCTCAAGTGGCTAAGGCACCAGCCACATACACCTAAGGTGGTAGGTTCAAATCCAGCCTGGGCCCGCCAAACAACAATCATGGCTGCAACCAAAAAACAGCCAGGTGTTGTGGCAGGCGTCTGTGGTCCCAGCTACTTGGGAGGAGGAGGTAGGAGACTCGCTTGAGCCCAGGAGTTGGAGGTTGCTGTGAGCTGTGCTGAATGCCATGGCACTCTACCCAGGGAGACAGCTTGAGGCTCTGTCTCCAAAAGAAAAAGCGCCAGTTATGAATGTTTAATCAAGATGATCCTCCTTACAGGATCAAAGAATAGTACACAGTATATTGAGATGTCCAAGCCCTAGAATCAAAAGTAAGGCATTAGTAATCCCAGCACTCTGGAGACCAAGGAGGGCAGAGTATCTAAGGTCACAAGTTCAAAACCAGCCTGAGCAAGAGCTAGACCGTCTCTAAAAATAGCCAGGCATTGTGACAGTGGGCACCTATAGTCCTAACTACTCAGGAAGCTGAGGCAAGAGAATTTCTTTAGCCCAAGAGTTTGAGGTTGCTGTGAGCTACGATGTGACTGCACTTTACAGAGGGCAACAAAGTGAGAATCCGTCTCAAAAAAAAAAACAGAGCACTGAAGTAATGACCCCCAGTCTCTCTCTCACATATGTGCACATGCTCTGTCTTGTGCACACTCTCTCTCCTGTTTACACAAACATACACATGGCCAGGAAAGAACAGAGTTCAGGGCGGCACCTGTGGCTCAGTGAGTAGGGTGCCAGCCCCATATACAAGGATGGCGAGTTCAAACCCAGCCCCGGCAAAACTGCAAAAAAAAAAAAAAAAAAAGAAAAAGAAAAGCTGGATGTTGTGGTGGGCACCTGTAGTCCCAGCTACTTGGGAGGCTGAGGCAAGAGAATCACTTGAGCCCAAGAGTTGGAGGTTGCTATGAGCTGTGACGCCACGGCACTCTACCAAGGGCAACATAGTGAAACTCTGTCTCAAAAAAACAAAACAAACAAACAAACAACAAAAAAAAAATCAACATTCCCTTAACCTAAATAAGGTAGACAAAGTACCTCTACAAATGCAAACAGAAGGGCATTCTCTGTCATTTTCATCTGCTGCTGGGCATGGTTGAGTCTGAGACCAAATGCTTCCCATTTCTCCTTTAGGAGCAACCCTGGAAGAGAATAAAGACAAGAATTCAGTACATGTTCTAAGTTGTGGTAAGTACAACTTTTAAATATGAAAAAAATACAATAAAACTCACATAAAAATTAAGCATCTTGGGGAAAAATCTAAACACTTAGATAATGGTGTTAATGTGCATCAGACACTACATTAACTAACTAGGTCATGCACCTGTTAATTAGCTCACATGCACGCGCACACATCAGTAAGCTCACATGCATGAATACCTATTAACTAGCTCACATGCATGTGCACACACATCAGCTACCTCATGCCCATGCATACATATTGACCAGTTCACACATATGCACATGTATGTCAGTCAGCTCACGCCCATGCATACATATTAACTAGCTCACACATATGCACATGTATGTCAGTCAGCTCACACCCATGCATACATATTAACTAGCTCACGCATGTGCACATGTATGTCAGCTCACATCCATGCATATGTATTAAATAGCTCACACATGTGCACATGTATGTCAGTCAGCTCACCCCCATGCATACATATTAACTAGCTCTCACATGTGCACATGTATGTCAGTCAGCTCATGCCCATGCATACATATTAATAGCTCACACATGTGCACGTGTATGTCAGCTCATCCCCATGCATATATATTAATAGCTCACACATATGCACATGTATGTCAGTCAGCTCACGCCCATGCATACATATTAACTAGCACACGCATGTGCACATGTATGTCTGCTCACGCCCATGCATATATATTAATAGCTCACACATATGCACATGTATGTCAGTCAGCTCACGCCCATGCATACATAAAATAGCTCACGCATGTGCACATGTATGTCAAGTCAACTCACGCCCATGCATATATATTAACTAGCTCACACATGTGCACATGTAGACAGTCAGCTCAGGGGTGTGCATACATCAGTCAGCTCACGCCCATGCATACATATTAACTAGCTCGTGTGTGTGCACACGCACATGTCGGTCAGCTCACATGCATGCATACATATTAACTAGCTCACACTCATGCACGCACTTGTCACTTAGCTCTTCTGTCACCACAGCAGCCCCATACAGCAGCCCCCTCAAGAAAAGAGGGCACAGTGAAATTAACTAAGCTATCAAAGCCCCTGGGCTGTGGAATTCACTATTTACAAATGAACTATTTCAGGAGAAATGTGAATGACCACTAGTCATTTGTTTTTGTGGGAAGCATGCCAAGAATCGTGGAAGCAATTACCTTTTCTAATTAATATGCTTTGCCCTAAGTCCTAGAAAGCTGCAGATTATTCTGCTTTATTCCTCCCCCAACTGTCTCTTAACTCTGCTGAGTGGCAATCTCATCCGGGTCATCTCCTTACCTGTCTCGCTCTCGTTCCCATCCTTGCTAACAGCAGACTTATGCACGTGCTGCATTAGTTTTAGGAGATCACGCCAACGTTTCTGCCTGTAACAGGTCTGAATGTGTCCCAAGAATGTAAAGTTTTGTTTCTTAGAAAATGTCTGGGCAAAGAGTTCCTCAAACGCCTCCCGTAAGGGTAGCCAAATAACCTTATGGTCCACTGGTTTATAACTGAAACAAAAGGTAAAGGAGATTCACAAACTTCTGAAGTTAACAGAATTAGAAAGCATGGTTCAGGAATATGAGAGTATATTTAAGGTTTCATTTAATCAAAATTAGAAATACTAACAAAACATTTTTAAAAATCTACAATATAGTTTTAAATTATAATCTACTTACTGCCACCTCGAGTGTCTAAAAGGCCTATACTAAAGATAAAAAACTATTATTAAATAGTGTTAGGAAAAAAATTGAAATTCTTAGGTAGTAAAAGGGCATGCCATTTATTTTACTAATAATGGCTAAATAAACATATTAGTTTATTCACTTACATTAACATACAGGACATATTAATAGACCATATTTAATTAAGATTGACCAAAATAGGTTCAGGATATTTTAGAAGAGAAATAATACAATATCCAAAAGCAAGTGAAATGAACTCAGCCCACACCTTCTCAACTAGGGGAACGGTAGTGAGAAGAGGATAGGATGACCACAGCATTGCTTACAAGGGGAAAATTAGTTGTGAGGGGACAGGCAAAAAATCTTAGAAATTGTAATGGTTTGGTGGTCCTCCAAAGTTCATTCAACTTTTACTTCTCAGTAGTTAGATTCTTCCACATACCTGTGCATTAAATCTCTATGGCTGAGAGGCCAGGAAATTAACTGAAATTTAATATTTGGGACAAGTGGGGGATAAATTTCTAAAAGTTGAGAAATACTACTCTAGCTTAAAAAAAAGTGGCCCAAGCAGCAATAATTACTTCTGGAAAATCCTAAGTATATAATTTTCTATAGCCTAAGAGATTAAATATTATAATTCAAGTAAAATAAGATTAATTTTATTTCCAAGAAAACTAAATTGAAAACTGAAAAGATACCAAACATGTTTCACAGCAGTCATCATACTTAGAGAACTCTGGGATTACTGTCCACTCACTGGCCTGGGAAGGAACGACAGTGAGCATCTGCAATTAAAGAGTCTGATCACAGAGAAAAGTATAGGAATGTCAACCCACGTAGGGTTTGCAATAAAGCCTTTGGAGGCTTTATTCCTCCTCGGTGGAGGAATGTGAATAAAGGAATGATGCAATCTGGTTACCCAGAAAAGGATCTACTGTTAAACAGAAAAGCGCCCGCAAGGAGGCGAGGAAGAGAGCCACAGATAAGAACAGTGCAGGAGACCAGCCAAGATAATGAGCTACAGTGCACAGAGCACCAGGCCAGAAATCAAACACAGCATATGTGTCATTTACATAAAATTGCCAGTCTTAGAAATAACAGTATAAATGGAATCCAAAACTCACTGAAGCAACAGAGTAACCATTAAGAACACAAATAATCAGCTCAGCGCCCATAGCTCAGTGGTTATGGCGCTGGCCACATACACTGGGGTTGAAAGGTTTGAACCCAGCCCAAGCCTGCCCAAACAATAATGACAACTACAACAAAAAAATAGCCAGGCAAGTGGCAGGTGCCTGTAGTCCCAGCTACTTGGGAGGCTGAGGCAAGCGAATCACTTATGCCCAAGAGTTTGAGGTTGCTGTGAGCTATGACGCCGTAGCACTCTACCAAGGGTGACACAGTGAGACTCTGGCTCAAAAAAACCTAGACACTCAAAACAACTGCTTGAGTAAATCCTGACTCCACTGCTACCTTGAACAAGTGGCTTGTTCCCTCTGAGCCTCACTGAGTTTACTTATGTGTAAAACAGAAAGAAAGGGCCAGCATAGTCCCTCAAGCCTATAATCCAAGCACTCTGGGAGGCTGAACCAAGGGTATTCCTTGAGGTCAGGAGTTCAAGACCAGCCCAAGCAAGAGCAAGACCCTGTCTGTACTAAAAATTTCTAAAAACAAATTAGGAGGGAGTTGTGGCAGGTACTGTGGTCTCAGCTACCCAAGAGACTGAGGCAAGAGAATCACCTGAACCCAGGAGAATCTCGGGTTGCTGTTAGTTAACCTGATGGCTACCATCTTCTAGCCTGGGCAACAGAGAGAGACTCTTGTCTCCAAAATAAAAATTTTATTTTTTTTTTTTTCTTTTTGGAGACAGTCTCACTATGTTGCCCTCAGTAGAGTGCTATGGAGTCATAATTGACAGCAACTTCAAACTCTTGCGCTTAAACGATTCTTTCGCCTAAGCTTCCCAAGTACCTGGGATTACAGACTGGCAGCCACAACACCCCAATATTTTCTTTTTGTTGTTGCACTTGTTTAATTGGCCCGGGCTGGGTTCGAGCCCGCCACCCTCAGTGTATGTGACTGGCACCATAACCACTTGCTATAGGCACCAAGCCCCAAAATAAAAATTTTAAAAAGGAAAAAAAAATTGAACACACATTAAAAAACTCAAAATAGTGCCTAGCACATAATGAGTGCCATAAAAAGCAGTTACAATTATTACTGTTATTACCTCAGTTGTTACTGACTTTATAAAAGGAGTGGCTTAAAATTTCAAATTAGACCAACTTCCTTAAAAGAAACATTTATTCTGCTCGGCACCTTTAGCTCAAGCAGCTAAGGCATCAGCCACACACACCAGAGCTGGCGGGTTCCGATCCAGCCCGGGCCTGCCAAAAACAAAGACAACTACAACCAAAAAATAGCCGGGGCTCAGCGCCTATAGCTCAACCGGCTAAGGCGCCAGCCACGTACACCTAAGGTGGCGGGTTCAAATCCCCAGCCCGGACCCGCCAAACAACAATGACGGCTGCAACCAAAAAATAGCCGGGCGTTGTGGCGGGCGCCTGTGGTCCCAGCTACTTGGGAGGCGGAGGCAGGAGACTCGCTTGAGCCCAGGAGTTGGAGGTTGCTGTGAGCTGTAATGCCACGGTACTCTACCCAGGGGGACAGCTTGAGGCTCTGTCTCAAAAAAAAAAAAAAAAAAAAAAAATAGCCGGACGTTGTGGCAGGTGCCTATAGTCCCAGCTACTCAGGAGGCTGAGGCAAGAGAATCACCTAAGCCCAGGATTTAAAGGTTGCTGTGAGCTATGATGCCAAGGCATTCTATCAAGGATGATAAAGTGAGACTCTGTCTCTACAAAAATAAAAAAAGAAAGAAAGAAAGAAAAAATGAAAAAGCATGCATTTCAAAAAAATTATTTTTAATTTTTTTAAAAAATTAAAACTTTTTTTAAATTTTTAAAAAAATTTTTAAAATCAACTGTCACACAAATACTCAATGGGAACAAAACTGATACCTGGCAGAACTGAGGAAATAGACTGTGAACCCTTACGTAGAACAAGGTCTTCAAACTATCTTCTGCAGAAAAGGCACCTCAGAAGCAACTAAAATGCCATGAGGGCATGGGTCCAGAGTACCTGCCCCACGCAGAATAAATCACTGTCTACCTTTCCATACACTGGAATTACCTAAGTGTTCATTTGAGAACAGCTAAAACAAAAGACAATGACTCACCAAAATTATAACATAACACAAGAAATAACAGAAATTATAAAAGGCATAAATCAGTACATCCTGGACAATATAATCAATAATGTATCAAAACAACAGATGCTGGTTAGGATACAGAGAATGGAACTCTTACACACCACACTGTTGGTGGGACTGCCAACTAGGAAAACCTCTATAGAAAGTAGAATGGAGATACCTCAAAGAACTACAGGTACACCTACCATTTCATCCAATACACACACTACTCGATATTTACCTAAAGGAAAAAAGGCCATGTTTATAGCAGGATTGGCACCCAAAGCTCAGTGATTAGGGCACCAGACACACATGGGCTGGAGGGTTCGAATCCAGCCCAGGTCTGCTAAACAAAAAAATAAAAATAGGCAGGCATTGTGGCAGGCGCCTCTAGTCCCAGCTACTGAGGGCAGGCGGAGGCAAGAGAATTGCTTGAGCTCAAGAGAATTGCTGTGAACTATGATGTCATGGCACTCTATGTAGGGTGACAAGATGAGACTCTGTCTGAATTAAAAAAAAAGAGAGAAAAATACTCAGGAGGCTGAGGTAAGAGAATCACCTAAGCCCAAGAGCTGGAGGTTGCTGTGAGCTGTGACTGAACAGCACTCTACAAGGGTGACAAAGTGAGACTCTGTCTCTAAAAAAAAAAAAGAGAGAGAGAAAAGAAAAAAACCAAAGGAGCAACACACACTAACCAAGACAGCAACCTGCAGCAGTATAAACACTCTGACGGACTCTATGACTCTTAATTTTTTTATAAAGTGTCATAATAATAATTTTATTTAAAATCATTCTAAAAGATTCACATTTACAAACTAGATTAAGTACATCTAAAAATGTCTTCTGTTTAATACAGTATTTGGTGCATGTAAACTATATTTAACCTGAGTTATAAAGCAGACAAAAGTAACCACACATATTAAGAATAGAAATATTACCTCTTCCTGATGACATCCCCTGCCTAGTCCCCAATTCTCTTTCCATTGTTTGTGCTTCCTCCGCACCCCCATCAGGATCTCCCACTGTGGTCCTGGCTGGAATGCAGCCTAACCATAGCTCACTGCAAACTCAAACTCTCAGAATCAAGCAATTCTTGCACTGCAGCCTCCCAAGTAGTTAGAACTATAGGGGCAGGTAACCGTGCCAGGATAATTTTCCTAATTTTTTGTAGGGACAAGGTCTCCCTCTTGCTCAGGCTGGCTTCAAACACCTGGGCTCCCAAAGTGCAGGGATTACAGGTGTGAGCCACCACATCTCGCTATACAGTAATTCCTAAACAAGGGAGTCACTATTCATCTTCAACATGATATACGTTAAACCATTTTATTGAGGATAAGATCCAATAATACAAGAGTAGAGAAAACAAACCATATTTCCAATAACACAGAATTAGAAAAATAAAGTTCTTTTTTGATAACTGATGCTAACACACTAAAAAAGCAAAATAGATTTTTATATTCAGGAAGTTGGCACCAAGGCAAAATTCTGGTTCATCATTTTGGGGCTCTGCACAGGGGCTCACTCCTATAATCCCAGCACTCTACAACAAAGACAACAAATAAAAACAAAAAAGTATAATTCAAAACAAAGAGAAAGGCTTGGTGCCTGTAGCTCTAACAGCTAAAGCACCAGCCACGTACACCAGAACTGGCAGGCTCGAATCCAGCCCGGGCCTGCCAAACAACAATGACAACTACAACCAAAAAAAAAATAGCCGGGCATTGTGGTGGGCGCCTGTAATCCCAGCTACTTGGGAGGCTGAGGCAGGAGACTCACTTGAGCCCAGGAGTTGGAGGTTGCTGTGAGCTGTGGAAAAAGAAAAAGAGAGAGAGAACTACCTACACACCCAAAAGCTCCTCAATAAATTAAAATCAATAAATACCCTGCTGGGGTGGGAAAGACGTGCATATATTTGTGTATTTCTCCAAGGCTATTTATGAGCTTCATAAGAAAACAAATATTTCTTACCTCAAGAAATAAACACAAAATAATAAAGGGCTTTGAGTCACACTTACCCTCCAAGCAAGTCTGCACTGTCACTTTGTTGATTCATATTGACAACCTTCAAACGGTGGCCTTTAAAAAAAAAGAAGAAAAGAATGACTCCAAAAATTTTATTAATTTATTTGTTTGAGTCTCAAGCTGTTGCCATGAACAGAGTGCTGTGGTATCATAGTTCAACCAACCTCCAGCTCTTGGACTCAAGCAAACCTTTTGCCTCATTTTTTTTTTTCTAATTTTAGTAGAGATGAGGTCTCACTTTTGCTTAGGCTGCTCTCCAACTGGTAAGCTCAAGCGATCTGCCCAAGTCAGCCTCCCAGAGTTCTAGGATTATAGGCACCGTGCATGGTCAACCCCAAAAACTTAAAAGACAATATCTAGTGTGCTCAAGATTTGGGGACAGAGCGCTGGCCACTTTTTTACATGTATATTTGCTCTGACCCTCTCATTTTACTTTCAGAACTCTTAACTGTTCCAGATTTCCTTATAGCCCTAAGAGGTAAGTAAACCAAAGACAATACACTATGGCATCATTGCTCTAGCATCAAATAATGGAAAGCAAACAGTAAGACCCTTCAGTGGTCTATAAATCTAAACTAAATAATTTGTGTAATATTTCTCAGACATTACAAGAAACAAGGCATTATGTTTATAAACTTGTCCACTTCGCTTAACTAAATGTAACAGGTAGAGTTTGATCCCATATCTGGTTTGAAACAAACCAAAATCCAGCATATGTATATGCAGAACATAGATCAGAAAGGAGCCAAGTTGCCTGGATGAGGTGACTCAGGCCAAGCACTCCAGGATCCCAAGAGGATCCCCTGAGGTCAGAAATTCAAAACCAGGCTCGGCGCCTGTGGCTCAAGCGGCTAAGGCGCCAGCCACATACACCTAAGGTGGCGGGT